AATGGAGTTTCATGGTGGAAGTATGTCGTTCAAATGTCTTACTTTGGTCGAGTATCATTAATGGTAGGGAAGGGGGAGTTATATCTTGATTATTTGTGGGTATTGCACGTTCAGCATCTGCAGGAGAAAGTTTGAGATCCACAACAGTATCTCGTTCGGCACAATAGAACGATATTGTTGTTGTCGCCATGTTTGCTGCTTTTAGTTTTAAAAATTGCGGTCAGTTTCTCAAAACGCTCACATCGACCCACTTCTTGAGATGGGTCGTCGTGAGCTAGGCGTGAGCATAAGTAATGACGTCATTAATGACGTTTTTGCCGCGACCACAACGATCATGGTCGCCATGTGGAACGCCTGAATGAGTATTTTAGGCGTTGTGAACGCTTAGTGGAACGCACGGATAACATACTAAACAGGGATAACCCCAGAGTTCCGAGAGAGGGACAAACACAGGAGGCCAACGAAGCAGAACCAAAGACCACCTCCGAGAGTCGCCGTTAGGCGGCTCCGGTAAGTATAAACATTTTTCAACCAGACTTCAAGTCTGGTTTAGTCTCGCGACTGAAAAGACAATCGTCTCTTGTTAGTTTTGGGGACCCCATGCAATAATTCAGTTAGTAAAGTCATGATAAAACAATTCAGATGTCAATCTTGCTGAAGTGCCCATCAGTAAGTTGAGGTCCGCTCCGGAGGAACGGGGGTGGATGGACAAAGTGACCGTGTGGGGAAGAGTTCAACTCAGGGCACTCATTCGGGAGGGGCCATAGGGGGGAATAAGTCCAGTTATCACCCGATAACGATTGTGGATACTAACAATCGAAACGTCGTGACGTAACTTGGTTTGGAATCTTTTAATTTTTAATTTTCATTTCTTGTTAATAATTGTTTAATTTTCATCTCGTGTTAACAGTTTTTTTAAATTTTTTTGGTTATTGCTTGTATTTTATTTCATTTTAATTTCGGTTTTTTTGCTGCATATAATTGTTATTTTTTCAGCTAATCTCTCTTTTTTAATTTTTACACAGACTGTTTCAGGGATTTCGAATCAATTTATATCATATTAGACAATGGAAGTCTGAATTGATGAAATTCATCACGAAACATTGTCAACTACTTTCAAACATTGAAACGTGAATGAGAAAACAGTAGTAGGTTTACTTACTCGATCAAATCCCAAATATATCTACTAAGTTTGTATACCTCCAAAAATAAATATGTTACAATTGATAGGAGTTCATTTGTGAAATGTTTGTGGATGATGAAATGAATCAAGATATCGTATTGGGTGTAATTATCCAATTCACCCGATATTTGTACAGTTTGCATTTGAAATTCATCGTTTATCATACCTCCAAATCATCCTGTACTTCAGGATGACCATTTGCTTTACAGTTGGAGATTATTGTTGCCTCAGTCTGGACCAAAAATGTTCCTCCCATGTCTCCCACAGCCCTCTTCACTATCTTCCTCAGGGCTGGAATAGAAAGAAGAGGTTTAAAATGACAACACATTTCTGAAATGTCGTCGAATGATAAAAATGGTGATTATGCTGGTGAATCTAACTTCTGTGCTTCGAGGCTTCAATACTTAAAAAGAAAAGCTTTCATTCTAACATAGATATTATACGTCACGAGCAGAAAATTGAAGATGATTTCATACCAGTGAGCAAAGAGCTTTTGACATCCATCATTTAAAAATTGAATGGACCAGCAACAGATCGCAAATAGATTTGTAAGGAGACAGTATACGCAAGTTGCTCTAACCTCCTGATTGTCGATGATGAGAAGGATCTATGGTCTTTCATTAAGGGCCTTCCAATCTTTAAATTTGAAGAAAACAAAGTGTATGTGAGATATCATCAAATTCTTTTATTGATTTGGAAGGACTGTTGATTTCGTTATGTGTGGAATATAACAAGTTAGTTATCATCGACCAATACAGGGCTTTTCATGATGAGCGTTAATTAGCCGTTTCTGGCAAACTATTCAACGGATCAACCTGAAAATTTCACAGTATGCATAAGTCAATATGACTTACACGCCTAAAATATTTTAGACGGAGCGGCGTTGTCGCTTCTACTATAAAGTAGCGGCTTCTTTGATTTTTCAAATGGAACACCCCGTATATAATATCATATTTTGATTCATTATCACTTTGTCAACAAATTCATATACTATTTCCCTATACCTATCTATTACCGTTTAGAAGATATAAATTAATTTCGATATTTTTTTTACCAAACATGAACTTTTATAAATGCTGATAATCTTGAACTCTCTTGCACTAAAACGATCAAATTNCTTTGCTATCCTCCCCTTTCTTTACGTCACTCTCAAATTGTCAGATTACTGGAATATACACTTTTTAGCTGGTAATTAACTTACTCTACCTCCATCTGACGTGCTCGAGAATTTCTGATGATCATTTTTTTTACTAATCTGATCCTTTATCCCTCACAGGCGTATATGGGGCTCATATTTGGTAGAGGTACTTAACCGGGTACAAGGTATCCCCCTGTATATATCTGCCGCGCTTTAGTAAACCCCGAAATCCCCGCTTGGGCTCCCCTATTATGAATAAAGGACAACTGATTTGACAGACGAAGCTTCAGCAAGATAACCATTATCAGTTGTTAAAATTCGGAAGTCCCTGTTGGGAGACCGTGTTAGGAATCACACGTTAAAAGGTAAGACCTCGTTAGTCGTTAGCTCGCACAAGTTTCTCAACTTCTGAGAGTTGTCGTTCGTATGGGGGCGGCACCTGATTAACGGAAAAACAGATTTTAAACAGACCTGTTACTTCCAAAATAACATTTTTTCCATTTTTGAAGATACTTATACTGCAAAACACGCTATCGGTGGCTCCGATAGCGTAGTTGGTAAATACGCTTGTCCACTGAACAGGGTTCTAATACCGGTCAGGTCAAATTTCTTCAATTAACTTTTTTTGTCATTCATGTCTGCATGCAAATTTAATCTTGTATGCTATTATATAATCGGAATTTTCATTATGAACGTAATAATATATTTAGTTATGAATAAATCTTACCTCCTTTGGGGCCAGTTTCGGACACCTCAGCAGAGCAAACACCTATATATATAAAATATCAACATTAATATCAATAGTATCATTCATTGTGAGAACACAAGAAAAGTGGTTAGTATTTTGTAAGGTGGGGAATTCTAAATAAATAAAAATATCAGGTGTATTTGAAATAAATGTACCGTTATAGTGCGGAAGCAATTTTAGACTGGAGCAAGATATCAAAGTTGAGAAAAATTTGTATAAAGAGAAATCATTTTTAGTACATTTTAGTAACTTTTCGGGGTGAGCTAAATAGGTTTTCTTTTCTACACGTGTATGGACAAGTACCCTAATGGCCGAGTGAGTACTGAAGCATGGTAATCTTATGGTGAGATACGTCGAAGCGTGATTCAATATTCGTGAAGTTCACTCATTTTGAAAAGGCATTTAACGTTGGGTTTACGGTTAAGTGTTGTTTTGGAGTGATTTGATAATAGTGCAAACAAAAATTAGGCGTTTTTTGGTGTGGCATTTCATAGTTGAGTCAATCAAATATTCGTTTGTAAATGATCAACGCCATGAAAAGTTACAGAATAGCATGGACCGTACTTGCTCGAAGTTATGATTTTTGGAAATTATTTTTTCAAAGTTGGGAAAAATTTGTATAAAAAAAATAATTTTTAGTACATTTCAGTAACTTATCGAGGTGAGCTAAATAGGTTGCCTTTTCTACACGGGTATGGACGAGTACCCTAAGGGAATAAGTACTCTAATGGCCGAGTGAGTACTGAAGAATGGTAATCTTATGGTAAGATAAGTCGAAGCGTGATTCAATATTCGTAAAGTTCACTCATTTTGAAAAGACATTTAACGTTGGGTTTACGGTTCAGTGTTCTGTTTTGGAGTGATTTGATGATAGTGCATACAAAAATTAGGCGTTTTTTGATGTGGCATTTCATAGTTGAGTTATTCAAATATTCGTATGTAAATGTTCAAGGCCATGGAAAGTTACAGAATAGCATGCATCGTACTTGCTCGAAGTTATGATTTTTGGAAATTATTTTATGCAAATAACTTCAGAATTATACTGAATAACTTACAAATGCGCAGAGTGGATTGCTATGAATTTAGTATTTGAATCAACAAAATATTCTCTGGTAGACTATTATTTTCTCAAAAATGAATTTCACATGGAACTAGAGTTACCATGAAATTTTATGTTTTCGGAATAGGTACCATCTCACCTGAAAGACGACTCACCATACAAACTAATCGGCTTCGGTAAGAAGCTAGGTTTATTTGGTCGAGTGTGAATAGATATGAGTCACAATAAACCCTTGCGAGTTCCGGTGAAGTGTCGAATAGACCACACCCACTTCAGATCTAACCTAACCTATAACGTATGCATTTGATATCTGTTCCCAATGTTAAAAATACAACAAAAATCTCGATAGGCATAAAATTGAAATATTGACAACATTTTTTCCACACCAGAACAAAAACACGGTCTCTCGACTCGCGTTTCGATAACGAAGTTAACATCATCGGGAGATTACTAAAGCTAAAATCTACGGTATGTGAGTGTTTTTATATGTATGTGGACTAATATTTCCTCTGCTTTTCTATGAACAGCGACATAGATCCTATTTGGAAAAATTCTTCGTTTGATCTTTTACGTAGTGATCCCAGATATAAACTAGGAAAAATTAAAAAATGTAAGGGATGGTCATTAACATATGAATAGAGTGAAATACAAAAACAATATAACACAAATTTGGGTATGTTGGTATCAAAACACATATAATGGTAGGTAAAGTTTAGTCCACATACATATAGAAACATTGTAGATTTTAGTTTCATAATCTATTTCGAAAATAAGGTAGAGTATATCTTTTATATTTTCATGACTGTCTCTATTGTAATTCCACAAACAAGTACGTATGATACTTCTGTGGATATTATTATGTTTATACAAATTCAGTGAAGATCAACTTGAATTGTTTTTTGGAAACGTAATATCGCGTGAGGGGGGTGCAATAATAATCCAACCACGAAACAGTATATACAGGTTATATACGGTAAATAACCATGAATGTATATCGAGTGGTCCAACGAAAAGTATGCACCTTGCTTTTCTCCTTTTTTTGTAACTTAACGCAAAAATGCTCGGACAGGTCAATTTTGCTTTTGAGGGGGACACATTTCAGATGTATTTTTTTTAGGTAGTCATATCGTAGGGCCACTTTTTATTCCTGGGAATTTAACTGGTGAGGTCTACCTGAACATGCTTGAAGATACAATTGATCCTCTCATCACAGAAATAATTGAAAATGACCAAAATCATAATGGTGATCGGCTTCATTTCCAGCAAGATGGAGCACCTCCTCACTATGTTGCTCCGGTAAGAGAGTTTTTAGATGACCGGTTTCCTGGACGGTGGATTGGAAGGAGAGGCCCCATAGAATGGACTGCCAGATCACCTGATTTATCGCCTTTAGACTTTTTCCTTTGGGAACACTTGAAAAATAAATGTTTAGCTACGCAGCCCGGGTCCATAGAAGATCTTCGCCAACGAATTACAGCAGAGTGCAGAAGTATAACACCTGATATGCTACAGAATGTTAGGAATAGATTTGAACAAAATCTGTTTTATTGTATGGAAGAAACTGGGTCACATTTTCAGCACTTGCTGAAGTAGGATTCTATCAAGTCGATTACACATTTCAAAGTACTGGGTAGTAGTTGTTTTTCTTCATAATACCTACATGTTTGAGTGAAATACAACAAATTAGGTATCATTGGAAAGATAATTTTGTGCCCTTTCAAATGATATATTGTTGATGGCACAGGTAGAAAAATACATCTGAAATGTGTCCCCCTCAGAAGCAAAATTGACCTGTCCGAGCATTTTTGCGTTAAGTTACAAAAAAAGGAGAAAAGCAAGGTGCATACTTTTCGTTGAACCACTCTATATACAGGCAAATTGCGAGACATTTGGAATTGAGGAATAGTTTTGATGGAATTGGTATACATTTCCAACAAATATTTATATGGTAGCGCCCCGTATACAGCCAAGCTTTGAAGGAAGTTTACCCAATTGGAAGAGAAGGCCAACCCACTACGAATATTTCAGATTTTCTACACGACAAAGGTGTAAATATTGCGTTCAAAACCAACAAAAATTCAGTCATGCACATTGAGCATCCAGTTCGGAAGTGTACGAATTATCACATGGGTCATGTCCGATGTTTTATATAGGTCAAACAGAAAGAACGTTCAAAGTCCGCATATAGAAACACAAAAATAGTTTCCAGAATGGAAAAATAAATTCCACATATGCTACTCATTCAATCACAGAGGGACATGAGTTCAACCATGACTACAAGCCCCTCCATGTCCAGAAGAAAGGTATGAAACTTAACCTGTTGAAGAGTATAGAAATGAACAAATTAAAAAACTCTCAATATCTTACGAACGATCAAACTGAATTGATCAATTCGCCATTATTGAATCTGTTAATTTCCAGGTAAGGTTAGAGTATGAAATGGTTGTTATTTAGAAGTAACTTTTAGTTTATGCTTGAGAAAGCTTTTGTATAGCGAAACACGTGTCGCGGTTTTTGTAAAACCCATCATAGTGAAAATCATACAATAAACTGTATTGATTAGTTTCAATATGNCTTTTTTTTTAATTTTGAAATTGGCCAGTTACAAAAATTATGGTAATCAAGATTGTTATTTACGAGAAATTGCCCACGAAATGGGGATTTCTGTAAAATCCACCAGATCAATTAAAAAAAAAAACAAATATAAACGCTACATGGTACGTAAAGTTCATCACCTAAATTGAAGAGATTACGGAAGGAGAGTACGTTTTGCGAAGTGTTTAAGAAGTAGAAATAGGGGAGTTGGAAATATTTGTGAGAAAATAATATGGATGGACGAATCAAAATTCACGAACAATGGTTGCTTCAACAGAAATATCCATTTTAGATGGAATATATATGTATTGGATTCCATTTTATGGGGAAGCAAACTACTTTTCATGAAACAAAAAGACGGCTTCATCAATTTATTATTTTCAAGAGGCAATCAATTTTTATATTCACTCAAGTAAATATAAAACTTATTTTTACCATTTACTTCAGATACGTCAACTTCAGGCTCAACTTGCACACGTCTCTAGTCTAACTTATGCACATTCCATCTATTTCTACTTCCATGTGTATGAAGTTCTCCATTATGTTTTTCATATTCACCAGATTGTGGAAAGTGAAAATACTCAAAGGAGGTCGATAAAGAGAGAGATCTATAGGTACAAATCCGGTTTTCGAAACGAAAACTCATTTAAAATGTAATACAAAAATAATATTATTCATTGTTATAGTTGGTCAACAAGAAAATTTGGCAAATCCCAGTGAAAAAAGTGTCAATAAATTAGTATTGTTTGTGACAAACCAAACAAAATCATGTTCCTGTGACATACAGAATGAACAAATAGTGGAAATTTACCAATAATCAACAACACAAATATCACAAACCACTTCATTTTGTTTTGTTAACAGCTAACGAAGGAACAGAAATATTCAACAACTTCACTCCATCAAGTATATATAGCACTACAAATTGACCTTCAGATGAACCTCTATTGGAATATCAGTATAGATACACTTTGGCTTACAGAAACTTGCACACATTGATAATTGAAAAGTACAAAAACGTAATAATCTTAATTGTATGTGATCATAATAACAACAATCCTCAATCTTATCTAGAATTTTTGTGGAATAAATGGATGACGATAATTGTTTTTCATCGTCTGATCAAGTTCCGAATGGGATATTCAAATTATCAAACTTTCTATAATTAGGTAATTGCTAAATAAGTCAGCTTCAAATAACGATTGGAAAATATCAAAACTTTTGAATTTCCAGCGAATCCTCTAGTTTATAACTTTGGCGTATTTTTATATCAGGAAACGTTAGTTGAAGTTCACATACGTTTTCACTACCTTTTGAGCATTTACTACAAAGTAAACAAGTTAGAATTTTCACAGCAAAAGATCAACAAACACAAGACGAGATATACTGTACGGAATCACCCAACTCAGAGTGATCAGGAGTATTGATTCTGCTATTGTTTTGCTCACGAAGACCATTCAACAAGAACCCCAAGAATTCGGAACAATCCTCTTGTTGTCCTAACGGGTATCTACTGGACTCCAGGAAATCGGTTGGTGGTTAAGATGATACATTCATACGAAACTGCAGCTGCATGAACAGGTGTTTGAGTTTGGTGAATGAGTAGGAGACATTCTCGTTCTCGTTCATCTTTAAATCCTCGTTCTTGAAATTCTTCATCATGAACAACACTTGTGAAATGCTATTCATGTAGCAAGTGTTTCCTTAATTATCTAATCCAATTTTCTTCTCAAGATTTTCATGACAACTCTCTACTGATTCGTAAGGAAGAACATGTTTCACAGAATCTGCATAAGAACCATTTCTCAAGCTGCAATCAATCCTTCCAACTGATGGAGGGTTTCGTAGAGGGATCGATTAGGGTCTTGCTTCATGAAGCTCCTCCACTGATTTTCGTGACCTTTTGACCCTTATAACTTTTTTAGCCGGCACGATATCAATGTCGATTTTTCACATCTTTATTAAAACGCCATAATGGAGGTGTATACCGAAATTCAGCTCTGTAGGAATTTTTCCGCAGATAAAACCTTGAATAACTGGACTATAAACATTTTGAGAACTGCAATGTTGACTATCATGAGAACATGGAAGCTAACATTTTCGAGGAATGGTTTGAAAACACATCAATCCCAAATTTGGATGCGAAAAGTGTAATAGTTCTTGACAACGCTTCCTATCATTCGCGACAGCTCATCAAAGTACCGAATAAAAATCTGTCTCTGTCTGTTTAAAATCTGTTTTTCCGTTAATCAGCTGTCGCCCACATACAAACGACAACTCTCCGAAGTTGAGAAACTTGTGTGAGTCAAGGACTAACGAGGTCTTACCTTTAAACGTGTGATTCCTAACACGGTTGTAGAATCATCCCAGCTTCAACCAGATGAATTATCTCGAGAAAAATATCTGGTCGAGGTAGAAATCGAACCCACGGCCTTTTGATCGTGAGTCGGGCTCACTACCACCGCGGCCAATTCCACAACGAAAGATGAAATACAAAGTTTTCTAATGGATGGAAATTTGTATTTTGAAGATTACTATACCAAAAACCAACTAGGTTAAGTTGTAAGGGCTGAACTTCGCCCTTTCATTGAATTTTGTATCTACTTCATCTTTATAAACAATGTATGTCAGTGAATGGAGCCCATTTATTATTAAATACATTTGAAAAAGTGTATGCCCTTCAGAGTATTGCTGAAAAGTATACTGAGACTTCCCCCCTATTTTTGTGTTTTCAATCCCATCGAGTTGATTTGGAGAAGATTGAAACAAAGCCTCAGGCGTAAAAATAATTTTCCAAGGTTTGATAAGAAGGTAATAGAGNAATAATTTGGGATTTTTTGTTTTTTTCTGTATATCTCCACGACCGAAAGATCTATATTCGATTTTTTCACATCATTGAATAGGTCTCTAAAATACGCAACTTTGCCACAATTTAACCGACACTCTATCTCCTATCGTTTACGAGATCCCCATTTACAGAAACGAATTGAATTGAATAGCCCTGTATATTTATGGAGATTGGACACTTCCATAATAATGGCGGAAATGAATTCACTATTGATTCAAATGATGACAGTGATAGTGAAACAGAGAATATGGAAGAGGAATTATCGGAAGCTTTCGAAGAGATTAAGTGAGGTGTTTTTGAAGTGATCGATACAGGGCGTTGATTAGCCGTTTCTGACAAACTATTTAACGGATCAACCTGAAAATTTCACAGTATGCATAAATGAATATGACCTACACGCCTGTAATATTTCAGACGAAGCCGCGTTGTCGCTTCTACTATAAAGTAGCGGCTTCTTTGATTTTTCAAATGGAACACCCCGTATATAATATCATATTATGATTCATTATCACTTTGTCAACAAATTCATATACTATTTCTCT